GCAACTTATTTGACAGGGCCCCTGTAGGCTGTCTGTAGACAGTGCTTTAAAAGATCGTATTTCATACATGAAGTGGTTATTTGTGGTCAAACCTACTGCACAGGACTCGGGGGACACAGCACATCACACCGATGTACATAACAACCATTAATTATGCATAATTTGAATGAAATCACACTGTCCACAGAAAGCCTACAGGGGCCACGTCAAATAAGTTACAGGTGGGATGCTGTTTCTGACTTTGACATTTTCAACCGGTGAATCCTGGTCAGGAATTGGGCATTTCACCATGTTGAAATCCCCAATTCCTGACCAGGATTCGCCGGCCGAAAATCTCAAAGTCGAAAACAGCATCCCACCTGCAACTTATTTGACAGGGTCCCTGTAAGCTGTCCATGGACGTGTCATTTTAAGGCTGGTTATGCATGATTGTGAACTGTAAAGTACCCCAACATGTTGCCCTGTCCACTGTGCTGCAAGTTTCAAGTAATAAACCACTAACAATCATGAATTATGACCTAATAATGCATTGACCACAAACAGCCTAAAGAGGTCCCGTCAAATAAGTTGCAGGTGGGATGCTGTCTCACCTGCGACTTATTTGAGGTCCCTGAGGTCCCGTCAAATAAGTTGCGGGTGGGGTGCTGTCCCACCTGCAACTTATTTGACAGGGTCCCTATAGGCTGTTTGTGGACAGCACATTAAAAGCTCATATTCCAATAAATACGGCGGTTATATGTGGTCCACTGCACACAGGCGTCACAATACAACACACTGATGTACAGTACAGCCATTGATTGTGTGTTATTAGCCTAAAAATGGACTGTCCACAGACCGCCTAGAGGGACCCTGTCAAATAAGTTGCACGTGGGCACAATATGTAGTCCCATTGGGACTCTCTTGTGCCCACCTGCAACTTATTTGACAGGGTCCCTGTAAGCTGTCAGTGGACGTGTCATTTTAAGGCTGGTTATGCATGATTGTGAACTGTAAAGTACCCCAACATGTTGCCCTGTCCACTGTGCTGCAAGTTTCAAGTAATAAACCACTAACAATCATGAATTATGACCTAATAATGCATTGACCACAAACAGCCTAAAGAGGTCCCGTCAAATAAGTTGCAGGTGGGATGCTGTCCCACCTGCGACTTATTTGAGGTCCCTGAGGTCCCGTCAAATAAGTTGCGGGTGGGGTGCTGTCCCACCTGCAACTTATTTGACAGGGTCCCTATAGACTGTTCGTGGACAGCACATTAAAAGCTCATATTCCAATAAATACGGCGGTTATATGTGGTCCACTGCACACAGGCGTCACAATACAACACACTGATGTACAGTACAGCCATTGATTGTGTGTTATTAGCCTAGAAATGGACTGTCCACAGACAGCCTAGAGGGACCCTGTCAAATAAGTTGCTCGTGGGCACAATATGTAGTCCCATTGGGACTCTCTTGTGCCCACCTGCAACTTATTTGACAGGGTAGTGTTGTTTTTGGCGGCCTGTTTTAATTTTAGTTTTAGTCTAGTCTTTGTGTCAAGCTGACATTTTAGTTTTTGTTAGTTTTAGTCATGTTCATACTCTATTTAGTCTAGTCTTGTTTTAGGCGACGAAAACTGATGACATTTTAGTCTAGTTTTAGTCAACGAAAACGGATGACATTTTAGTCTAGTTTTAGTCGACGAAAACCGATGACACTTTAGTCTAGTTTTAGTTGACGAAAGACATAGTCTAGTTTTAGTCAATGAAAATTGTATTTTAGTCTCTTTTTAGTAGGCAATTCTATTTAACCCAATATAAGAAGCCTACCTAGTAGTAGGCTAGCCTATAGACGAAACCAATTTTTTTCTTTTAGCCAAACCCATTTCAAACAATCTTATCTTCTTATAGTTATCTTCTTATATTATTGTTACCTTATAGACTCAAGAATGATTCCAGGAAGACGCTCTGAATTGAATTTACAACACATTTATTTTACCAACCAACCAAACATGTTAGTAGCCTACATGATGAAAGTTTTTCCAAATGTCATTTCTTCTTTTTCTCCCAAAGACGAACCCCTTTCTCTGTGTCAGACTTAACTTTTTTTGTTGTCGTTTATGCTAACGCCTGTTTTACACATACTCCATTTGCAGTGCGTATTTTTCCAGCACCCATACAGTTATAACAGTTATAGATTAGCGCTCATACTGCGCGCTCTGGGAGCGGTGCGTGCATAACAGCAGAGCAGAGATCTACACAGTACCTCAACAACGCGACACAATGGATGTAGGCTAAAATACTGATTTGAAATAAAAAATAGAGAATAAATGTTGTGATTGTGGTACAGCCGTAGATCAGTTGCGCACTGCAAACGCAGCACATGTGAAAGCAATAATGCGTGCTGCTCCTGCATACTGCAACACGCACCGCATACACGCTACACACGGAGTGTGTGTGAAACAGCTGTAACTCACGCAACTGCTTCTTCTAAATAATGCCGCGAGTGGGGCTTGAGGATCTGAAGTCGCTTGCGTTTGCACAGTGCGATCTGATGCAGCCCCTGAAGTGACACAGGAAACAGAAATGCTGCATACTAATAATGCAAGTAGGCTAAACGAGACGAAATAACGTTAAATAACGTCTCGTCTTGTTTTGGTCAACGAAAATGAAGAGACATTTTAGCATAGTTTTTATTTTTGTAAACCACATTTAGTCTCGTTTTTATTCGTCAACGATATTGCATTATACATTTAGTTATAGTCATCGTCCCACGACCAGCATTTGCGTCTCGTCTCATTTTTGTCACGTGATAAAGGTTCGTTGACGATGATATTTAGTCATAATTTTTCGTTGATGAAAGCAACACTATGACAGGGTCCCTGTAAGTTGTCCGTGGACGTGTCATTTAAAGGAATGTCATGCATAATTGCGGACTGTAAAGTACCCCAACACGTCTGATTGTATTTCCTGTGCACTGCACGGCATGTTTTAAGTGATAAAATGCTAACAATCATGAATTATGACCTAAAAGTGCATTGACCACGAACAGCCTAAAGAGGTCCCGTCAAATGAGTTGCAGGTGGGATGCTGTTTTACGTTTTGGAGTCATGACTGACAAAAGTGAATAAAAATGATTAAATATCAATTTTACGTCAATCCCCGGGCCCCCCATAGCGATTTGCAGCCTTCAGAACCCCGGAACTCCACTGTCCACGAACAGCCTAAATTTTTGAATGGGATAAGTTGCAGGTGGGACGTCCAGATCTCAGCCTCTGGACAGAATTCGGAGCTGAAACCTGCGCTCCTGCGCTCATCTGGACGTGGTCAGGCAGTGCAGTGAATTTCTAGCCTGGTTCAACCAGACTCTAGTACATTTCATTTCCACATAGAGTCTGGAACCGCTCCATTGAGAAACGTTTCCTTCCTTGTAGGCGGGTTCACTATTAAAGTTCAAATCTACTGGATCCGCCCAAAGTCACTCACGATCTGCCATAGCCAATCACTAACGTGTGGTCGTGAGTGACGTATGTCACGCGCCGAAATGGCTGGAAAAAACAAGTCCGAATGATCAGAGGATTAGGTTTACAATAGGATTTCAGTCAACGAGCGCCGCAGGTTTTGTTAATCTAGGAACAATTATTAATTTGAAATGTATATTTGACACGAAGGACAGTGATATATTCATTCAACGGTGGAAGCTGTGTCTAATCATTACAAATACGCCGCTGTGGTCGTTTTCTGATCTGCCGCAAATGCTGTAGCAGCTACAGTGAATGATCAGTCTGTCTCTATCTGCAGATGTGTAATAAACAACAATTTTTCATATTACGTCTAATTGTTTCTTAATTACCTTAATTATGGTCTTCAAAGTATGTGTTTGTACATTTTTATGTGGCATTTAGTTTTTTTAGTAAAACAAATCAACCATTGCCATCTAAAACTGAAAATCAAATATCTTCAAAGTATGGTTTTTCACATTTTTATTTATGACAATTATTTGTAAAAAATCACAACCAATTTGTATGATTTACAACATGTAAAACTGACACACCAACCTCCTGCACGAGTGCACAAAGGGGCTCAAAATGTTCTATTCATCACAAGAATCAGTAAATATACAGTTGGGAATATGAGCGACTGACATGACTCCTGAGCGGATCTTCAACAATAGTTTAGCAGCCAGGACTCGGGGCTTCCGAACACCGCGAACACCAGGCTAAACCGTCCGTCCAAAATGTCACGGTCATCGTGCACGAGCTGCCCAGCACAAACTTCCAAACTTTCTGCCTCCTTCACTTGGTCCTCCGTTGTGCAACAAGAGGTGAGACGATAACAATCCGGCTTTAAATTCTGTATATTCGGCAGTTTCTTTTCCAACAACGGACCGAATAGCTTTTCTCACGTCTTTCTCCGCTGCCATTACTAAACTCAAACTGACGCGCTTACATCAACGTCATCGTTCTCAGCCACTCCCTCTATTCGCTGATTGGTCCTACAAAAAATTGATTTCTGGAAACCTAAGGATATGGAGCGATCCCAGACGCAGTACTGAAGGGAAATGAAATTGAGCGGAAGTGCGTAGGAGGGCGCAGCCAGTCGAATTATCAAGTTTCTCCAATCTCTTCCAAATTCACACCATGGGTAGGGCATGTCCAGAGGAGCGCAGGAGCGCAGGTCTCATATCCAAATTCTGTCCAGAGGCTGAGATCTGGACGTCCCACCTGCAACTTATCCCATTCAAAAATTTAGGCTGTTCGTGGACAGTGGAGTTTCGGGGTTCTGAAGGTTGCAAATCGCTCAGGGGGCCCAGGGATTGACGTAAAATCGATATTTAATTATTTTTATGCATTTTTATCTGTCATGACTTCAAGATGTAAAACAGCATTCCACCTGTAACTTATTTGATGGGACGTGGTCTCATGGACCGTCAGGGGGACGAATAGGCCGTTCGTGGTCACATAGGCGTTCAGGGGGACGAATAGGCAGTTTGTGGTCAGTGGTCGGACCCCCGGGCCGTCACCTAGATTGGCGGTGGACGCGTGGGCCTTTCGTGGTCACATAGGCGGTCAGGGGGACGAATAGGCAGTTCGTGGTCACATAGGCGGTCAGGGGGATGAATAGGCCGTTCGTGGTCACATAGGCGGTCAGGGGGACGAATAGGCGGTTCGCGGTCACGTAGGCAGTCCACCTGTGGATTCTGGGAAACTTTGTGTTCGGGAGTGTGTATTCTGGGGAACTTTGGGTTCAGGAGTGTGGATTCTGGGGAACTTTTAGTTCGGGAGTGTTGATTCCGGGGAACTTTGGGTTTGGGAGTGTGGATTCCGGGGAACTTTGGGTTCGGGAGTGTGGATTCCGGGGAACTTCGGGTTCGGGAGTGTGGATTCCGGGGAACTTTGGGTTCGGGAGTGTGGATTCCGGGGAACTTTGGGTTCGGGAGTGTGGATTCTGGGGAACTTTGGGTTCGGGAGTGTGGATTCCGGGGAACTTTGGGTTCGGGAGTGTGGATTCTGGGGAACTTCGGGTTCGGGAGTGTGGATTCCGGGGAACTTTGGGTTCGGGAGTGTGGATTCCGGGGAACTTTGGGTTCGGGAGTGTGGATTCTGGGGAACTTTGGGTTCGGGAGTGTGGATTCTGCGGAACTTTGGTTTCGGGAGTGTGGATTCCGGGGAACTTTGGGTTCGGGAGTGTGGATTCTGGGGAACTTTGGGTTTGGGAGTGTGGATTCTGGGGAACTTTGGGTTCGGGAGTGTGTATTCTGGGGAACTTTGGGTCTGGTGTTCTCACACTTGCGATTTATCAGGTGAAACCTAGTTGCAGGTGGGATGCTGTCCCACCTGCGACTTATTTGAGGTCCCTGAGGTCCCGTCAAATAAGTTGCAGGTGGGGTGCTGTCCCACCTGCAACTTATTTGACAGGGTCCCTATAGGCTGTTCGTGGACAGCACATTAAAAGCTCATATTCCAATAAATACGGCGGTTATATGTGGTCCACTGCACACAGGCGTCACAATACAACACACTGATGTACAGTACAGCCATTGATTGTGTGTTATTAGCCTAAAAATGGACTGTCCACAGACCGCCTAGAGGGACCCTGTCAAATAAGTTGCACGTGGGCACAATATGTAGTCCCATTGGGACTCTCTTGTGCCCACCTGCAACTTATTTGACAGGGTCCCTGTAAGCTGTCAGTGGACGTGTCATTTTAAGGCTGGTTATGCATGATTGTGAACTGTAAAGTACCCCAACATGTTGCCCTTTCCACTGTGCTGCAAGTTTCAAGTAATAAACCACTAACAATCATGAATTATGACCTAATAATGCATTGACCACAAACAGCCTAAAGAGGTCCCGTCAAATAAGTTGCAGGTGGGATGCTGTCCCACCTGCGACTTATTTGAGGTCCCTGAGGTCCCGTCAAATAAGTTGCGGGTGGGGTGCTGTCCCACCTGCAACTTATTTGACAGGGTCCCTATAGACTGTTCGTGGACAGCACATTAAAAGCTCATATTCCAATAAATACGGCGGTTATATGTGGTCCACTGCACACAGGCGTCACAATACAACACACTGATGTACAGTACAGCCATTGATTGTGTGTTATTAGCCTAAAAATGGACTGTCCACAGACAGCCTAGAGGGACCCTGTCAAATAAGTTGCACGTGGGCACAATATGTAGTCCCATTGGGACTCTCTTGTGCCCACCTGCAACTTATTTGACAGGGTCCCTGTAAGTTGTCCGTGGACGTGTCATTTTAAGGAATGTCATGCATAATTGCGGACTGTAAAGTACCCCAACACGTCTGATTGTATTTCCTGTGCACTGCACGGCATGTTTTAAGTGATAATACGTTAACAATCATGAATTATGACCTAAAAGTGCATTGACCACGAACAGCCTAAAGAGGTCCCGTCAAATGAGTTGCAGGTGGGATGCTGTTTTACGTTTTGGAGTCATGACTGACAAAAGTGAATAAAAATGATTAAATATCAATTTTACGTCAATCCCCGGGCCCCCCATAGCGATTTGCAGCCTTCAGAACCCCGGAACTCCACTGTCCACGAACAGCCTAAATTTTTGAATGGGATAAGTTGCAGGTGGGACGTCCAGATCTCAGCCTCTGGACAGAATTCGGAGCTGAAACCTGCGCTCCTGCGCTGATCTGGATGTGCTCAGGCAGTGCAGTGAATTTCAGGGAGTTTGGAGAAACTCGAAAATTCGACCCAAAAAATCCCAAAGGGGTACCCCTTCGAGTTTTTTTGGGTCGAATTTTCAAGTTTCTCCAATCTCTTCCAAATTCACACCATGGGTAGGGCATGTCCAGAGGAGCGCAGGAGCGCAGGTCTCATATCCAAATTCTGTCCAGAGGCTGAGATCTGGACGTCCCACCTGCAACTTATCCCATTCAAAAATTTAGGCTGTTCGTGGACAGTGGAGTTTCGGGGTTCTGAAGGTTGCAAATCGCTCAGGGGGGCCCAGGGATTGACGTAAAATCGATATTTAATTATTTTTATGCATTTTTATCGGTCATGACTTCAAAATGTAAAACAGTATTCCACCTGTAACTTATTTGACGGGACGTGGTCTCATGGGCCGTCAGGGGGACGAATAGGCCGTTCGTGGTCACATAGGCGTTCAGGGGGACCAATAGGCAGTTTGTGGTCAGTGGTCGGGGCCCCGGGCCGTCACCTAGATTGGCGGTGGACGCGTAGGCCTTTCGTGGTCACATAGGGCGGTCAGGGGGACGAATAGGCAGTTCGTGGTCACATAGGCGGTCAGGGGGATGAATAGGCCGTTCGTGGTCACATAGGCGTTCGGGGGGATGAATAGGCCGTTCGTGGTCACATAGGCGTTTGGGGGGACGAATAGGCAGTTCGTGGACAGTGGTCGGGTCCCCGGGCCGTCACCTAGATTGGCGGTGGACGCGTAGGCCTTTCGTGGTCACATAGGGGGCCCGCGGTCAGGTAGGCGGTCAGGGGGACGGATAGGCCGTTCGTGGCCAGTGGGCGGGGCCCCGGGCCGTCGACTAGATCGGCGGCGGACGAATAGGCGGTCCGTGGTCGCGTAGGCGGTCAGGGGGACAAATAGGCCGTCCGTGGGCGGGGCCTCGGGGGCGCAGTAGGTTGCGGGTCAGGGAATTTCCCAAATAGGCGGTCGATGGGACGCGGGGTGCGCCCCGCGGCTGCCCGCCTGCGGCCTATCCGGCGCACGTCGGATAGGCTGCCCGCGTCGGTCGGGTCGCCCCCTGGTGGCGGCGGCCCGGATTGCGGGGCCCCCTTTGGCCCCGAAAAATCGCCTAGGGGGCGGCGCGCGCGGGTCCTTTAACCTCCTACCACCGACCGCACTTTAGGCCGTCCGCGGACGCCTTCCCTAAGCCGGCGGCCTAAAGTGAGTAACTTTTTTGGCATTTGTTTATAAAGTGTTCTTTTTATACAATATATGGTGTAAAAACGTCTTAGTGCTGCCCTCTTCAGGTTGAACTTCAGTGGAATGGATCCTATTGGATGTTTGCGGTGGTACGTGACACAGCGGTTTTTGGTTACATAGGCAAGTTCCATACAAAGAGATGCGTCTCAGGTGCACGCCCCCCTCCGCTGGGCTCTGCCCACTTTTCCAGCATTTTTCAAATATTGCCAGTGGGTGGAGTCAGGCTCTAACCAGGGGTTTAGTTACCCTTTAAGCTAAGCTTATTTTGATTTATTTTGATATTTTTATTACTAATTTTATTCTGATGTTTATTTATTTGTCGCTGTATAATGTTTGTTTCACGAATTGTGGTGCTTGTATGTTTGTAACTTGCATTCTAATAAAAAATAAAATAAAAAATTTAAAAAAAACAACAGTGATGAATTTTTCTCTTTTAAAATGTTTGATTTTAAAACTGATATCATGTTTTAAGTGTATACATATGGGTGAATAAACTCTCTGACAGTGCCATATGGGTTATTATGTGATGTAATTTTTATAATAAAAAAAATATAAAAACACGTCTGTATTAAATAAAAAATGATTGATAAACACATATTTGGAATGTAGGCTAATTAAATAACAAGTTCTTTGGGTGTCTTGTTCATTATATTTATTTTCATATAAAAGCAACAGAACTTAAATCACATCCAGTTTATTAGCAACACCATAGATATCTGAGCAACACGTGCACAAGCGTGAATCCTGTGAATCCCGCGATATCAGACGTTGATCTTACAGGTGTCTGATCCACTGCGAGAACCGCGATTTGTCCGGCTTGATTGCGCTTTTTTCACCCCTCCTCTCACTGCAGCCGCCTACTCTCGCCTACATTGCAGGCGAGGCGAAGCGCATCTCAAACAAGCCTATTTTCTACTGGGTATACGGCGTATACCTGCGTATCACGTAGACTACACCACTGGTTATATCATCGCATTCATGATCAGATGTACGGCTGTATCAGTGTCTTTATTTGCACATAGGCTATATTTTATTTGAAGTAGAGCGGTGCTGGTTCATGTTTAGAGCACTAGAGGATATGAAATATGTCCATAAAAACCTTGAAAAGCACTTGCTCTGGTCTGTAAATGAACTATAATCCGCGTTGCGAGCGTTGTTAAACTCATCGCGGTACAAACCGCTCTCATGATCCGCATGTTTTTTTAATTCTCCTCTGTGATGCAATGATGTCATGTCATGTGTAATACAGCGCAGTGATGGGATTGAACAAGCTCTTTCTCATGAATAAATGCAGAGAGTCACTCAGAACCGGCTGACGTACAGAATCATTCTCTCCAGCCCCAGCAGCCAATCACACGGTCAAATATATATATATATATATATATATATATATATATATATATATATATATATATATATATATATATATACATACAACAAGAATAAAGATTTAAAAAACTAAAACACTTTATACTCAATATCTCACAATGAGTCTTAATTCACATTATATTTCTGCAAACATTTTCACCTTAGTATTTTTGTGATTTGAGTATTTTGTGATCTGGTGTAATAAAGATGAAGATCTCTCTTCCTCTGTTTTATTTGCTGATGAAGATGATGTACTGTAACTTTACAGAGTAAAGAGTCTCTTATTTTCTTAATTTTCTGTCTCTGCTAATGTAGGTTAAGCTGCTGTCATATGACAGATGAAGGTTGTTCTGATGTGACTTCAGCTCTGAAATCAAACCCGTCACACCTGAGAGAGCTGGACCTGAGCGGGAATAAACTAGGAGACTCTGGAGTGAAAAACCTCAGTGATCTACTGATGAACCCACAATTCAAGCTGGAGAAACTACAGTTAGTGTCATTATACTGTACAGCAATTACAGTGTGACTGAAGTTTATTTATTTGAAGACAGCAGGGATTATGTTTCATTGGTTATAGCAGTGCACTTTCTGGGTTTCCCTGTTGCTCACATATTTATGTGTTTTTTATCTAGTTAGTAGAGTGTAGATAGTAGAGCCCGACCGATAAAGGATTTTGAAGGCCGATACCGATACAAATATTTTTGTGTTTTAAAATCCGATATAGGCCGATATTTTTTTTTATTAAATATTGTTGGATTTCACACACGTGTAAAAGAAAAGCTAAATTTTCTGCACAAGATATGTTTGATTCTTTTTCTCTATGTCTAAATGTTCACTCCTCGCAAGTATAACTTACATTTTACAATGCAGGGACTGAAACTACAGATATGCTAGTTATAAATACAGTAATCATTACTTTATTTAGGCAGAAAAAGTTCATTGTGGTTTCCAAGCTCATTAATGTGAACGTTAACGGTCTTCCACTGATGATAGTGGCATTAGCTAGCTTTGTGGTTAGTCTATGATGAGCCATAATTTAGCAATAGATAACATCATACTGCAAATTGTAAAACATACATTTTCAATATACCAAGGAGAGATGATTGAAGCGTGTTTTGTCCGTTTTTATTTTATTTTTTAAATGTTCATTTATCGGCCATTATAACTGCCGATACCGATATTTTGGAAAATGCCGATATATCGGTCTGGCTCTAGTAGATAGTAATTTTTAATTCACAGCATGTGATACAATGCACTGATTGTGTCCACACAGAAATCTGCCTTTTCAACAGAGAATAAAGAAGAGAGACGTCTTTTTAAAAATGAAAGGGAAGAAACAGTGTCTTCCAGCGCACAGAACTAGTGTGACTGGGTTTTAAAACAGACTATTGGAAACTAAATGCTGCTGTAGCTCTTCAATAAGATGATCATCATAGATGTGAACTATTGTTATTTCTCTCTCTTCAGTCTGAGTTATTGCAGTATTACAGAGGAACAGAGTCTCATCCTGACTTCAGCTCTGAAATCAAACCTGTCACACCTGAGAGAGCTGGACCTGAGCGGGAATAATCTAGGAAACACAGGAGTGAAGCACTTATGTGCCGTACTGAAGGATTCACACTGTAAACTGGAGAGATTGAGGTCAGTCACATTCACATACAAGAATCAAAATGCTTAAAATCACTTCAACTGTTTAAACTAAAACACATTAACATTATATTTGTACAGTTTCACCTTTGTACAGTATTTTGTGATCGGGTGAAAATAAAGATGAAAATCTCTCTTCTCTGTCTGTTTTATTTGCTGATAAAGATGATGTGACTTTACAAAATAAAGAGTCTCTTATTTTCTTCATTCTCTCTCTCTCTCTCTCTCTCTCTCTCTCTCTCTCTGCTGTGCGCATGTGCGAGTGTGGCTGAGCGAGTTGAGCGTGGCTGTGGGAGCGAGTGTGCAGGTGTGTTTTTCAAACTTTTCTATCCTTTCCTTTACCAAAAATAGTTAGTGGAGTTTCTAAGTAAAGGTTGTTGTTTTGTGAGGCACGCCATTTTCCCGGGGTTCGGAATTATGCCGGGCGCCGGTTCAGGAGTGTTTGAGTCCCTCACGCAGCGCAATGGTGTGAAAGTTGCGTCAACGTTGAAAATAGACTAATCTGACGAGCGTTCTGTGTAGGCTGCCATCTTGTGGCGCCACCATTACTGAGCTGTTACGCCCGTTTCACACATACTCCGTTTGCAGTGCGTATGCGGTGAGTGTTGCGGTGCGTATCCGGTACAGGAGCCGCACGCGCTAATGCTTTCACATTATGCTGCGTTTGCAGTGCGTGAGCTGTACCACAAACACTCGCTATTTTTATTTCAAAATCAGAAGTTATGCAGCAGGGTGACCAGTGACCAACAGTCCTGTTATCCCAGTTCTGTTTTCACGTCCTGTCCTGCCGTTTTTTATAAAGTGATGTCCTGGTTTAAAAAAAAAAAAAAAAAAACGCTGGGAAAGATCAGCTTTACAGCAAAATATAGGAGATGAGCAAACAAGGAGGATGAGGAAGAAAAACAGGATAAAGAGGAAGAAAACTAGTTCGTTTTTGTACGTTTGTGAGAGGTTTGTTCAGATTTTTGTTCAATTTGAAGGTATTTCTTTTAGTTAATTAATATTTAGCCTATATATTTATTTTTCTAATACAGAAGAGACATTATTTTTTAATCATTATTTCATTAATTATTTTTTAAACCAACCTGTCATAATAAAACATGTTGAGTAGAGGCCTATCTGAATTTGTGTCTTAATACAACAATTTTCTGTCCACAGAGGGGGCATAGCCCATTTTAATTGTATTGAAATTAATAAGGCATCTTTGAGTAAACTTCGAGTATCATTTGTTTTCTGGGCCATGTGTCCTGGTTTTTGGTAATCATAATATGTTCACCATATGCAGCAACTTTTATTAAAATAAAAGTTTTGCCATGGCTTTGTGATTCTTTTTTACAAACTTGAATGGATGCATGCTCGTTTAAACACGATTTAAACAACGAATGCATTTCCATGCATTAGGCTACTTATATGATGTCTTAAAGTAAAAATATGAAACAATTAAAGACCTTTATGGAGAGATTACTACATTTTATGGAATTAAATGCATTTATGGTGAAACTACTACATTTCGAGGTCATTCTGAGTTCATTTTGACCACGAACCGTGCGCTGTCACTTAACTACGTTTGCAGCACAGCAGAAATAGACTCGGTACGGAAACGATCTCTGCACTGCTGTACGCACCGCAACTGGAACGGATCGACGGACTGTATCCGCGTGTAGTGTGAAAGCTCTAACCTGTTAACATGGGTACGGAAAAAAAATACGGACCGCATACGCACAGCAAACGGAGTATGTGTGAAACGGGCGTTACACCGGCATAGATATGCACCGGTATGTAAACAAACCTCGGTGATAACGCGAACGCACCCTCGATGAAAGCTACAGCCAGGCAGAATGACTTGGGTTGATGATGTTAGACAGCGGCCTCCAATCACAGATGATTGCTGATCATTATATCACATATTTATTATATTTTTTTTACTTATGTCATTAAAGGGGTCATGAACTGACTTTTTAAATGTTATTATATTGTTGTCTGAGGTCAACTTATAACGTTCGCTTGGTTTTTGCATTCAAAAACATCAAAATGAACAAGTAATAGGCTATTTTGTACCCTTGTGAGCCTACCTAAAAAACAGTCGGTTTTTATGGGCGTGTCGCACTGAAGACTTGGAAGTAAACACCCACTGCTGCGAGTGGAGAACAGTTTTGCATATTTGAGTTTAACTCACCCGTCGGTGCACGGGGGAAAACGTCCAATTTCGCCCCTACATGATCAACCCAGAGTCCGTGTGTTGCACAATATTCCTGTCAGATCCAATATAGACGGCACAGCACCGTTCTTTACTCTTAATCGGTCTGCAAATCCAGTCTTGTTGACAAAACAATCCTCAGTGAAATGAAGCGAACAGACGACGATGTTTTACCTCATCAGCTGGAACGTCATTAAAAATAAATTTTATCCATGCAGTCCTATTGGAATCCAGAGGAAGCTTATGCAGCGACTGTCTTGCACAACCAGGCACTGCACAATATTCTGTATTGCTCACGAGGTAAGCGTACATGTATGATACATCTGTGTAATGCGCGAATCGGTGGGCGGGGCTAAACCTGCCGTGGTGAAGCAGGCGTTGATCATCTTCTGTGGGGGTGGTGTTTTATCCTCTTTGTCTTCATAGTTCCCCACTTTTAAAAACGAGTCGTTTTTAGAGGCTGTGTCAATAAAAGCTTTTATTGGACTAACAAGGACGTTTTCAGTTCTGAAACTTACAGGATATTCTTATAATATGATGACCTCTTAGATGTCAAAAGCTCAAGGAAAATTAGATTTCTCAGTTCATCACCCCTTTAAATAATTGTTATTATACGCGAATGTCCGCATCTTGTACTCGCCCAGGAAATCTTTGTAAACCGTACGGCACCGACAGGGGCAGTCGACCCGGGGTATTCACAATGTTTTCTCTTCAAAATTGAAATTTTACTGCCACCATTGAAACAATTTATAACGGAAACTGTTTACCCACTCGACATTATACAAGGGGTAACGTTGCAACGTTAGTGACAGTCGATTTACGGAAACTGTTTACCCACTCGACATTATACAAGGGGTAACGTTGCAACGTTAGTGACAGTCGTAAATCGCGGGCTGTTTATTCCGGTAGACGCAACTTGAAACTAAAACAATAGGAGGCAATGGCACAACGCTACCCAGCAACAGCTCAGTAATGGCGCCCGCTTTCTTCCGGTAGTTTCGCCGGATTCGTCTATAGAAGAGGTTTGTTTAGCGGCAGGAGAAGTGGTAGGTTATGACTATGTGGTGTCGGCTTCTAGAATGAACAATGCCATAGTAATGTGTATGAGCTCGGTGGATAAAGCCAATGAATTGGTGGAGTGTGGGTTAGTGTGGGTTGGTGTTTTTACAGCCGTGCTTCCGCTTTCAGTGCCGTCGAAAAGAGTAACATTGTCGAATGTGCCACCTTTCATGAAAGATGAGTTCTTAGTAAACATGCTCGTTATGGAAAATTGGTTTCACCACTCAAAAAGATTCCACTTGGAAATGTTAACCCACTCTTGAAGCATGTTGTTTCCTTTAGGAGATATGCATTTATGGTTCTAAAGGATAATGCTGAACTGGAAGTATCATTTAATTTTCAAATGGATGATTTTGATTACTTGTTTTGGATGTGGTAGAGTAGGACATCTGGTCCGTAAATGCCCAGATAAAGGTGGTGTTTAAAAATTTGGATTCCATGGTCCCTGTTGTCATGCTGGGATGGGGCTTTTTGTTGTTGTTTATATTATCAAGCATGAGTAACATCAATATTGCATTCCTGAATGTGAATGGTGCAAGGGATAGCAAAAAAAGAGCGGAGATTTATGAGTTGGTTATACAAAAACAGTTTGATGTTGTGTTACTTCAGGAGACCCACAGGGACTTACAAAATGAAGTCAATTGGGCCATTTGGGATGGCCTTGCCGTTTTGAGTCATCATAATTCACTTAGCGCAGGAGTTGCTGTTCTTTTCTCTAAAAATTTCACCCCTGTTTCTTACGAAGTGGATGAGATTCTAAAAGGAAGAATTAAAAAAATTAGAGCTGTTGTTGAGAATAAAGTGTTTGTTTTGATGTGTGTATATGCTCCTACTGCAGCTACAGATAGAATAGTTTTTTTTTTAGATTTTTTATGTTTGGCTTTACAAAAGGTTTCTAATGATGATATTTTAATTCTTGGTGGTGATTTTAATTGTGCTGAAAAAAAAAACATGGATAGAAATCACATTGAACCTCACATGTTGTCACGTAAAAAGCTTATCCAACTTATTAACACACACGAACTTAGTGATATATAGAGGACATTTCATCAGGATTGTAGACAATATACATGGACTCATGTTCGAGATATTGTGTCTTTAGCCAGGTTGGACAGAATATATTGTTATAGTCATCAGAGTAATGTTTTTAGAAGTTGTAGTATTTTCCCAGTTTCATTCTCTGATCACTGTATGGTTCAATGTGCTGTTTTCTTGAACTTTGTATAACCACGGAGTGCATACTGGCTGTTATGAACTGCTCCGACAGGGAGATGTAAATTCAGCTTTATTAAGAATAGTCATACAGACAGCGCAATGGAGAACACACAGTGGGAATCCAAAAAACAGGCAGAGGTCAGGGCAGGGCATAGGGTGGCCATTTCCATAACACTGAAAAGGAGGACGGGGGGGGGGGGGGGGTAATCTGTATGGTTTTAAACCCAATACATATTCATATTTCATATAATATTCATATTCCCATTCGTAAAATCAACGTTTGGGGGTTTGCGTCGTGCTTGTGCTTGCTTCTATAATTCTATTATATATATATATATATATATATATATATATATTATTAACTGTTGGCAAACTAAGATTGTTTGTAGAATTTGTCAAATTCTTATTTTTACCTGGGTGCGCTTTCCCATACTGTTTCCTTGTGTAAGCAGTTGGAACATTTATTAAACATGTAGAATACTTTCCAGAGCATTACATATAGTATTTTAAATTCAGACGTTTGTGATATATATATAAAATTTTTTAAATTAGATTGAACACGGAGCAGTTT